GACAAACTGGAACCCTACTGCAGCTACGGACCATTCAATTTGCACATGGCAAACTGATTTATCCGTAGCTGCAGCAAGATTCCAGCTTGTCCGCTAAAAAGGCAGGCTTCAGCAAGGTTAGTGCCCAGTTTGTCCTCATGCCGCAAGTCTCAAACCATTGTCATGCACTCCCGAGTAGCGAATATTTCGGGAGGCTGCAGACCTGGCCGCTGCATAGGCCGGCAGAAGGGGACCTACCTACATGTAATCGCGGAATGTGTCTTCAGACTGAGCGTCCCTTTGGAGAGCTAAACTCTCAGTCCTATATTTTTGGCCAGAGCAGTTTGAGATAAGCCCCCGTTCCTCGACTCAATTTTACTTTTGATTTGTGATTCAATCGAACTTTCCCCTTTTTGGTTTCTCTATCTGTATCATTTGCCAGTAGATAAAGATGCAATTCCATTCACTCCAGTGAATGCAGTCCTGCTCGTTGCGGATGATAGGGCGTGTCGGGAAGGGCCTGGGTTTGAAAACCCGTCTTGCCCCAGATGTTGAGGCGAGCAAGCAATGAGAGATCATTTTGTTCATGTCAGTCGTTTTCCACCAATTGTCGTCGCTTACTCGCTTCAACAACTGGTGGAGAACGAGCTGGTGGCGCGCCAATATCACCCTCACCGACACGCCCCTCATCCGCAGCAAACAAGACTGTAGCTTTGTAGAAGTCGGAAAGTTACCTTATTTGATGAACTTGGAATAACAATTTCAGAGTTTGCAGCGATACCGAATACGAGCTTGTATGGACGATTTTATATAACGTATTAATGTCGTCAATCAATGAGTCGGCTTTTTCTGAATACCAAGAAATTTAGAAGGAAACGACGCACTACAATTGAAGGCGGACCTTTTGCAAATGGAAGTGCACGATTTGCAGCAGACAAGAGGATCCCTATGAGTCGATTATCAGGAAGTTTATGACTGACGAGTGTTTTAAACAAGCCAAAATAAATGGACAGCATTTGTACAGCAAGTGATGAATCATCTGCACGCAACGTAATCTGAAAAAATATTCACAATGAAAAGGGGAGAGCTATAGCGACTGA